CCCCGCCCACCAAAAAAAAATGCATACATGATTTGTCTTGACAAATATGTCCAAGCATCTAGTTACAAGAAGCCAGTATTCATATCCAAATTTAACTGTGTGTGTTTCCTTATTTCTGCAGATGCTTGACTACAATGTACCTGGAGGTGAAATCAGTTGCTCCATTCCTATTCAAGAAACATTATCTTTTCACATTTGCTTTGTAAGAGGAAACATGATGTATGCAGGAAAGCTGAACCGAGGCCTCTCTGTTGTGGACAGCTACAAGTTGCTTAAAGGAGATGAATTAACAGACGACGAAGTTTTTCTTGCTTGTGCTCTTGGTTGGTGCGTCGAATGGGTAATATTAACATAAATGCTCGAAGCAATTCGTGCTTGTCCATGAATTTTCTTTTTGAGATTAATATTGTAAGATGATAGAATTAGGGTTCCAACATATATATTGAAGAGGCAAAGATATCCATATGGTAGATTATGGCTCTGTTATCATGTGAGAATATGTGAAACCCCATTAGACTATTCACCCTATCAGATTGCTCTCCAAAAGAACCCTTGAGGAAAGAACTGAGGTTCCAACATATATTGAAAGAGGCAAAGATATCTCAGATGGTAGATTTTGACTCTGATACCATGTGAGTATATGTGGAACCCCATTAGATTATTCACCCCATCAGATTATTCTCCAAAAAATTCATTGAAGAAAGAATTGGCTTCCAACATATATTGAAAAGGCAAAGATGTCCCGGATGGTAAACTTTAACTCTAATGTCATGTGAGAATATGTTGAAATCTCATTAGACTACTATCCAAAAGAGCCCTTGAGAAGAAAAGCTGAAATGGTCGAAGTTTAACTAATGTGGGACTTTAACAAATATTATCGTACTTTTGTTGTATGAGAGCCTTAGGGCCTGTTTGTTAGCATCTTAACGTGCTTAATAGAACTGACAACTTATTTGTTCACCTATAGATGATTGTTTGGTAATGGCTTAATAATCTAGAAAGTGCCTTAGTCATTAAGCTTCTAGGGGGAGCTTATAGAAAGCCAAGATTTTTCCAAACCTGCCCCTCCCAGTTAAAAAACATGCTCCTTCCATCTATGAAAAAACCCTCCCACACAAACAACTTTATCCATACAAAACTCAATGGAAAACCAACCAAACATCCTGTTAACCGTTGCTGATATTGATGCTTGCAGCTTCAAGCTTATTTTCTTGTACTTGATGACATTATGGACGAGTCCCATACACGCAGAGGTCAACCCTGCTGGTTCAGATTACCCAAGGTGTGACTCTATAGCAACAAACTACATCTTCCAATTGTTTGGTAGTTGATAATTTGAATCTTGAGTCGTCGAAAATTTGGTTCTAGGTTGGTATGATTGCAGTGAATGATGGAGTTGTTCTTCGCAACCATGTCCCCAGAATCCTAAAGAAACATTTCCGAGGGAAGGCTTATTATGCGGATCTACTGGATCTCTTCAATGAGGTGTGTTTCCTTTCTTAGTATTCATCAAATTAGTTAAGGATTTAACTTAATCTTTTCGGTTCTGATAATGACTCTTAATCCCATGTTGCGCAGGTCGAATTCCAGACGGCCTCTGGACAAATGATTGATTTGATCACTACACTTGTGGGAGAGAAAGATCTATCCAAGTATTCTTTGTCTATGTAAGTCACAATCTTAATTGTTCCCATCATAAACTTAAGTCACAACCTTAATTGTTCACGGTTTTAAAACATGTCTAGTAGAGGAGGTATCCAGTCCCTTTAGTTCCCCTCTTCAACCGATGTGACATCTCACAATTCACAATCGTACTAGATATTGTCTGCTTTGTCCACAGACCTGGACTCATGGTTTTGAAACACGTCTGACAGAGGATGTATCCAATCCCTTATAAGGAAAATTTAGTTCCCTTCCCCAACTGATGTGGGATCTTACACATGTTGACCACCTCGTACCGGGTAAGAGGTGATTGCTTGGTAAGAAGGGATGTAGTTTGCCAACTAACTCTGACCCACAAATATTTTGTGCCAGTAAGAAAGTGATTGCTTTCTGACTCGTAGTCAGCACTTTCCCAAACACTCGGTGAACAACTATTTTCAGTAGGCACTTACCCTGACCAGGCCTCTTACCTTGACCACATTCTTACAAACTTAGCACTTACCTAATTATGTGTTGGTAAACGACTCCTCAATCAATTTTATGTCATTTGCATCTTCTGAACTACACAATGTCATGTTGTCTTGCAGTCACCGTCGGATTGTTCAGTTCAAAACTGCCTATTACTCATTTTACCTTCCGGTAAGTAGATTTTTGTGCTTTATTGCATCTTAAATTCGTGTTTGCTCTGTTTATGTTTATATCTCTGTTTGTTAACAACTTAATGAGCTCAGTGGGACTCGCAACTTATTCGGTCAGCTAAATATGACCGTTTGATAGTGGCTTAATGATATAGAAAATGACTTGTTCAATAAGCTTCCAAGGGGAAGCTTTATTCACAAAGCCAAAAAAAATTCCATACCTGCCCTCCCAATTAAAAAATACGCTCATTCCATCTATTAAAAACTCTTCCAAACAAAAATATTCTCAATCTATAAAGACAGATTAATCTACATAGACAATTTTATCCACATAAGACTTAGGCAAGACCAACCAAACAGCCTCTAAAGACAAATTATTCACATCTATCAACTTAGCATGTATTGTTTTGTTGTTCCTTAAATCAACAAATGTCCTATATCCAAACAACATGAGTATGTGATATGGTCGTGATATACGAGTAAAACCGAATACATTTACTTGTTTGCCACCATTAACATCTGCAACACGGTGCTTGCATTGACCCAAGTTCACTTGGCAACCATGGGTGTCTTGGTCAGCTTCTGTGCACCTTGACCAATCTCATGGGTCTTGAAGATAAGATAACAATCAAGAAAATCACAAGTGGTCCTAAGGAGACTTGAGCTGGCGACTTATGGGGAGGACTGAGAAGCCCCAAGGCCTAGCCTTTATTTACCAGTTGAGCCGACTTTCAAGGTTTAAACCGTCGTTTACAATGATTTTACCATATATTATTCTGATTCATGGCACCTGTCTTCACTTTCATATAGTTTTGGATGACTAAATTTATCAAACGAATTTCTGCTTGAAGGTTGCGTGCGCACTCCTTATGTTCGGGGAGAATCTGGATGATCATGTTCAAGTGAAAGACATCCTTGTCGAAATGGGTACCTATTTTCAAGTGCAGGTAATATGATCATCACTTGCAGCTGGTGTAAAATCGAGTACCAAGTTATTCGAGCTTGAGCTCGATTAACTTTTTTAAAGTTGGGCTCGAGCTCGAATAACTTTTCCAATGTTTGAGCTCAAGCTCGATGCTCGTTTATGAGCTCGAACTCGAGATCGATTAACTCATTTATTTGCTCTAGCTCGATGATTTTTATATTTTGATTATATAATTTGTAAATATATAAAATATGTTTGGCTCAAATGACTCTGCTCAGCTCGGCCCGTAAAACGAGTAGAGTCGAGTCAAGTTGAACATTGGTGTTATAGAGTTCGACTCGTTAAGTGAAATGAGTTTTATTTTGTATCAAGATCGACTCGAACTCAAAAATTGTTATACTAAAAACAAATGGATTTATTGTAGGATGATTATCTCGATTGTTTTGGTGCTCCTGAGGTGATTGGCAAGGTTAGTCCACCATTATCGCTTACATTTCTCATGTCTTACAAGACATTTGGTAAGAAATTTAGGACAGGATAAAACATGACTGAGTGGTCCACCAACAAGAATCTTGAGAACTTGCCTACCTTACTTTGTCTTGTCTTATCCACTCGAGTCGAGTCGAGTCAACTCATGATTTGATTGATCCCATTATAACAGATTGGAACAGATATTGAAGACTTCAAGTGTTCCTGGTTGGTTGTGAAAGCACTGGAACTTGCCAATGAGGAACAAAAGAAACTTCTACACGTAAGCATGAACTACAATAAAATAAAAATAAACCTCATATATATATATATATATATAAATATATATATATATATATAGTGTTTGTTTCAAATATAACCCGTTGCATTTGTACAACTAATGCAACCCAATAAATTGAGATATTTATGTAAATGATGGGAGTTCATTTATTATGATTTGAATATTTAAGGAAGATGAATATGGTTAATTAATTATGATCAATACTTTATTTTAGGAAGCAATTAAAACTTCTATGAAATCACATATTAATCAAATGAAATGAACGGTTGAGATTGAGTTGTATTGGTTGTACAAATGTCAAGGGTTGTATAATAACCAATATCTCTCTCTCACTCACTCTCTCTCTCTCTCTCTATATATATATATATATAGACTTGGGATCACGTGAGACCCGTGAGATCACTTTTTTATACTTGAAACTTCACAGCAAAACGCTGTGAAGGTAAAAAAAAAACCCTAACGTTCACAGCAAAAAGACTTGGCGTTTTGCTGTGAAATTCAAGTGTAAAAAAGGGGTATCACGGGTTTTACGAAAACAGACTGGTCTCAAGTGAACCCAACCCCTCTCTCTCTCTCTCTCTCTCTATATATATATATATATATATATATATGCTTAACGGTATATTTACGTATCCAGGAGAAGTATGGAAGAAAGGATCCAGCAAGCGTAGCAAAAGTGAAGGAACTATACTATACTCTCAACCTTGAGGTTGCTGCTGCTGTTTCTTTGCTATTTTGGTGTTTCTACATATAACTGTTAGAGTCTCATATCTGCTAGACTTAAGACACTCTCTCTTCTCTGCTCAAGAGCTCGTAATTTGATGTATATTTTGTAGGGCGTGTCTGAGGATTACGAGAACAAGAGTCACGAGAAGTTGATCAAATCAATTGAAAGTCACCCAAGCAAAGCAGTACAAGCAGTGTTGAAATCTTTCTTAGCAAAGATATACAAAAGGCAAAAGTAAAGTTTGGTGGAGTGACTCCTATGTTGTCTGCCTTTTACCAAACACTTACCTGATAAAATTTAATACTATTATTTACTTATCGGGTAAGATTTTAGTCCACCAAAACGACATCGTACGCAACAATTTACCTGGTGAGCGCTTACCATGGTAAGAGTGGTCGCCTTCACTTACCGGGTAAGATTTTTGGTCCTTATTATATTCATCCGGTGAAGTAATGTGACTTGGTAAGCTTACCTGGTAAGTGTTTGGTAAACGGTTCCTTAATATCTTTTTCCATTGTATTCTTGCATCCTCCTGTATAATGTCCTGTTATATCTATTATCAAACTCACTCTTAGCAAGCAAATTCCTTTTGTATCACAATAATATGAAATGTCTTTTTGGCCAAATTGCATGAAAAAGTATTGTACTTTAACTTGATTTTTATTTTGGGAAATGTACTTTTAAAACTTACATTTTGATGTCTAAGATGTAAAATTTAACACGAACCATTTTTACTTACCGGGTAAGATTCTAGTCCACCAAAACAGCATCGTATGTAACAATTTACCCGATAAGCATTTACTGTGATAAGAGTCGTCACCCTCACTTACCGAGTAAGACTCTTGGTCCTTGTCTCACTCTTACCGGGTAGGATTCTTGGTCTTTACCATATTCATCTGGTAAGATAATGTGATTTTGTTAAGTGTTTATCCGGGTAAGCGTTTATCCGGATAAGCGTTTGGTAACAGCCATATGAACCACGACAAAACTTGAGTAATCCCAATAGTAATTCAATAGATGTAAGCTTAACTTTAAATTTGTATGTTTTAAGATGCAACAAAGAATTGCTATAACTCGGTTTACACCAATTAGCAATTTGATACACAAACGCTTCATATTCATTCAGGACATTCCGACTTTGCACACACACCTTATTTTCAGCTCGGGTTTGCGTTACGGACCATTCAAATTTTGCACACCCCTAAACGGGCCTGTCCAAAAATTCTCCATCGATCACCTGAACCCATCCCAACCTTAAATACCTAATGCTCCAATCGACACTTACCTCCTTACCCGAACCCACTTCTATTCTTTCAAGGATGATTATCCACACCCGCTATTTTAATGGATCGACCTATTTTTTCCATGATGGTTATTCAAACCCGCTTTTCTAATGGATCAGACGGGTCTAATGACCATACAATTGTTCATAGCTTCACCGATGTTACCTACCATATAAAAGGTCTGTTCAGGAAGACCATCTAATTCTCCGACCTATTTTTTCCATGATGGTTATCCAAACCCACTTTTCTAATGGATCAGACGGGTCTAATAGACCGTACAATTGTTCATAGCCTTCGATGTAGCTTCATCGATGTTACCTACCATATAAAAGGCCTGTTCAGGAAGACCATCTAATTCTCCGACCTAATTTTTCCATGATGGTAACCCAAACCCGCTTTTCTAATGGATCAGACAGGTCTAATAGACAGTACAAATCCATGAACAATTCGACCAAACATAGTGCCCCTATGCCCCCTTCTTTCGCTTTATCAAGGTCTAAATCAAATCATTAGATTCAATTTAGACCCTCTCAACAAGCTCAATCTCTGTTAATAGTCTCTGCAGACTAATGAAAAACACAATTTACGGGTCGGGTTTCAAACAGAAAGAAAATTGTTATTAACTATGGAAGGAAGGATCAAGGATCATAATCAAAAGTTTGTGTACAATGAGTGTTAGCTCTCTCTTAATTTGTAGGTTTAGTCCATGTGGTCTCAGATGTTGTTGAGTTCCCATAATAAACCTGCTTCGATGCTTCGTCCCAATACGCCTGCGCAAACGAAGTACATCCATAGGTAAACGGAAGCGGATCCACAAAAAACCAGAACGGGGAACAAATAATAATATAATATAAAATAAAACAGGATTTAATTAGAAAAAGTACCGTTTAATGAAAAAAGACGCACACAACTACACGACGATTTTTGCAACACCGAAATGGTTTTTTCTTTCTTTACTATGTCGTTACCAAAAAAATTGACAAAAGGGCCACAAGTGATTCAAACTTCCAAAAATACTTGTAATGCTACATGCACAGTAATAGGGAAGTACATATCAAATTAAAGCAAAAGAACCTTTAGGGTGCGTTTGAAACACTGGACATAACATAACAGAACAGAACCGAACCGAACTACGATCATTGATCCACGTTTGACAAGACTTATTATATGTGGAACAGAGTGGAAAAGACATTTTCCACCCCCCACTCTATGAAAGAAGATGAAACAAACCTATATTTTATCAATATAACCTCAAAATAAAACCTAACTCTCTTCTAAGACAATGAATACGCCTCCCTCATGGTCTTTAAAATTTCACTTTCTTGTCCTCAAAATATTAATTATATTATTTTTATAAGGTTTCTATATTTTGATTAACTTATTAAATATTAACAATAAATAAATAATATAGAAAAGATATAAAATAAAAATTGGAAACTACATAAACCTTTTATTTTGGTGTCATTTTAATCGTCAAACGAGAACTTTCTATTTTGTTATAGAAAATACTTAGTTTATTATAATTTAATAAATTATATAAATTAATCAAAATATATAAACAAATCATTAGGGGTAAATTGGTCATTTTATCCGTTCTGTCCTGCCCGGTTCTGTCTTACCAAACATGTCCTGTCCCCTCTAGATATCAAATGCACCATTAAGGCCCCCAAATGTTTCTCCATTCCTAGCCTAAGCCTAAATCCATCCATGAATATAAATCAAATCAAACCAACTCGGTTGAACCCATTCCCACGAAAAGGTAGGGTCTGGGATCGGTAGAATGTATGCAGACCTTATCTTCCATCTTTAAGAGATACAAAGGTTGCTTCCGAGAAGACCCGGCATGCAAAAAGGTCAAGAATGTACGATCTTCCAAATATGTAAGATTTTATTACCTGCCAACCCGATGGTAGTTGCTTTGAAAGTTCAACAAGATCAGGCTGTCGGTTAGTGTCATCAACGGCCTTCGCTTTATTTTCTTCGGCTTCTATTGATTTTTTGGCTCTCTTCCGCCTAACCCTCTCCCTCCTGAATAAACATGTAAAACATATGAAAATTTGCACAACCATATACAAAACAAAACAACACAAAACAGAAAAGCAATCCCTTCATCCCAAAATAAATATCCATATTGGAAAAGGCACAAAAGTTTAACAAATATGCAAGAGTAAATTACAATTTTCGTCTCTATGGTTTAGAAATTGCGATTTCATCCCTACCTCTAAGTACAATGGACCAAAAGAGTAAATAGTTGTAAACTACAAGGACCGAAACAACAATAATCATAAGGACGAAAATAGCAATGAATTGCAAACCATAGGGGCAAAAACCACAAATTTTAAACTGTAGGGACGAAAATCGCAATTTTTAACAAACCTCAGGAACAAGAAAATGTAATTTACTCAGATATGTAATTATCACACATTTTAGTTTAACTAAATGACAATTGTACTCTTAAGTACGAAGAGAGTAATGAATTTCTCCATGTCATAATTAAAATGTAGAGTAGGAAAGTTGGTACTCTAAAAATTGGACACTTTTTTTGGAACAAACTAAATAGAAATATGGCCACTTATTTTTGGAACGGATGGAGTAAAAAGCAGAGGATCCAAACGACTTACCAATCACCACCAAGAGGCTGAAAGTTGGCATTGTCTCTGGCTTCTCCGGTTGCAATTTGCTGAGCATGCCATTGCTGCAACATAACAAGTGGGGCACCATAAGCAACCATCACAAAAGCGCAATAATAAACCAAACGAAAACGGACTCGGTATATCCCACACAAAAGTAGGGTTCCAACGAGATGTACGCAAATCCGACCTCTACCCGAAAGAGTAGAGCAACTGTATCCGTGAAGGACTCGCCGACTGACTTGTGCAAGAGTGTTAAATGAAAAAGAGAATGACGAATGATAAAAGAAATGAGAGTTAACCAACCTCAATTTCTCGTTGCCGTTTCTTCTCTAAAACCTCATAAGCGTTTTCAGGTTCGTCTTCCTCATCTTCATGCAGCTCCTCCTTAACAGCTTTCCACTGCAAGAATAGAACTATCAATAATCTTTTTTTGAATTAATAGAACTATTAATACGACCCATGGTGAAACATAAATTGTTCAAAAGAATTAAAGAGGTGAACTTTACCTTATCCACCAAGCCCGAAACTTTCTTGTTGGACCTTAACGTGGTCACAGTAGCAACTGTTCGTTTTTTGCGTGAAACTGGAAAGGTGGAAAGAAATTATCAGGTTTTCAAATTCGTAACATGAAGCAATTCCCAAAACACGACCAACAGAAAACATCTAGACCTTGTTATGAAGGTGAGCACAGGAAAATGTAGAACTTTATATATGTGCTAGCTGTGTCCCCGTTCAATGCAGCAAGAAGCATGATTTTATGTAAAACGAGAATTAATCCAAATTTCCATCAAAAAAATAAAATCCAAAAATTCACTCTGAATAAAAATAGAAATTACAAGTGGTCGTTGAACGTCTTGCTAATTTAAAGACCCGGTAAAAAATCCAGAAAATATATATATATATTGGTGTCAAATTAAAGATTAAAAAATCCTAATTTTTTGGGTATAATTTTTTTGTTATAATTTAAATATTTTACATCTAAACATAAAGGCGTAATTTCTTTTTTTGTGTGCATAAAAATAATGTATTTTGTCACATTAGTAGGGGGCAGTGATTATCTTGTATTTAAATGTGTTTTTCTGTTAATTATTAGTTAGTTTTATGGAGTTCAAAGAGCTTTAACAAATTAGACATATGTGATTCCTTGTAAACTTGAAACTTAAATGATTATGCACTACTAACCGATACCTAATGATTAATAAGTTGTTTTTAGGACTTTTACCTAAATGCTTTATAATATAGTATAGATAGATATAGATATATAACTGAAATTACCAATAATAAGGCAGAAATGTGTTCATCATATTTTACCTTTAGGTTGAGCCTTCGGAACCGGTTCTGTTGATGTGACTGTAGCTGAAACAGCAGAAGCCGACAGCACAGAAACATCATGTGTTACAGCAGAAGTTGCCGGAACATGGGTAGAGGACGAAATTGAAGGAATCTCTGCAGATGGCTTCCCAATCTGCCTATCAACAGCAGCAGTAACTTCGACTTGTGAAGAAGAGAATGGTCTATCATTCCAGGCCGTGATAGATTCAGTTTGTTCATTAGTAATGTTTTCATGACCAGATTTGTGTAAAGAAGTTTCCACGCTGCGAATAGCTGGTGCAGTCGGTACTGACCCTTCTTGTAGGGTGTAATATGTCACAGGCTCTGCAGGATTCACAACTGAAGTGGGATCTGGATATGGATGGGGCACGGTTGCATAATAAAGGGTCGCAAGAGGAGCAGCTACTTGACATCCGTTAGCATCTACATAATAATCGTTGCTTGGGACGGTGTTTGTCTGACCATAGTAGTCAAAACTGGACCCCGGGTATGTAAAATTATATTGTTCTCCATAAGAGTATGGCTGTGCTGTCTGCATCTCAGATGGTGGTGGAGGGAATGAGACTTCATGGGGCTCATCTGGCGGTGGGGGCGGCAAAGGTTCATCATCTGGTGGTGGAGGAGGAATCCACTCATCATTGGGTGGAGGTGGAACCTCAAATTCTTCAAATCCAAGAGGCTCTGATGGCGGGTTTGATGGAATAGATTGATCCGATTGGACCCGATTATGGACTCCTGTTTCATCTTTAGAAGGAAGTGCATCTTCAACTTCCATTTCCACATCCATGTCTACATCTTCCAAATTTGGGGATATATCTGCTGAAACCACATTTCCATGGTCTTCTACTGTTTCTCCTCGAGGAGTGCTATCAACAAATAGATATGGATTCTCAGTGCAGACACTAGAAGCACCCCTCAATACTTTCTCAGTGTCTTTACTTAAACTAGCATGATCAGAAGCATCGAATTCCAAAGAAGCAGAAGCAGCTTTCTTTTCATTTGCAGGTGCTTCACAAACATTTTCCTGTAATCTGTTTGCTGCCTCATTCATTTCAGCAATATTTGAAGGTTGCAAACATTTTTGAACTTGGTTGTTGACAGCAGCTTCCAGCTTTTTCAGATGATCTTCAGCATGCAACCAAAAAGGAAGCAATGATGATCCGTAAGGTACTAGTGACTTAATGTCTACAAGTCTTATATCAAGTTCAAACATCAACTTTGATATCTGCTCACTGAACCCTTCAGACCTGAAAGCATATCAATAAAGAGGATAAACATCATTGATAGAAGAATCCAGTGATACATCTACTATCCTTCCCACAAGAATTGCAACAATTTCCTTCCCAGAATTGCAATTTTTTGAAGTTAATAACCTATGTCCCCATTGAAATCAAGACATAGTAGTTGCAATTCACTCTTCACAAAAAGCTGTTTTGCCTTGTATTATAGTAAATCTTATACACGTTTTTTTGGACATTTGGTTATCATCCAACAATTTCTACTAATTCACATGTAGCATGAGAAGTCTGAATTCTTGTGGGATGAAGAAGAGCATTAGATGACTATGGTTATAATATAAGAAAATTATAGCAGAGAAAAGTTATATACCCTTTCAAAGATCTTAATCTCTCTAATAGATTTTCACCAAGTTGCAGAAGGCGGAGAGAATCAGAAGATGAATCAGCAACTCTTCCCTGATTTATATGATCTTTCATATCTTGAATATCGGAATCAGTACCGTGCGCTTCTCCATTACTAAAAGAATGGTTAGAATATCTTGCAAACCCCCTGTGTGAAGAGCCATAATTGGCACCATCTGGGCTGGACATCTTTCTGCCATCTATTGTGTCAACATGGTTACCCTCATCTTTATCATTTGCCATGATACCTGCATATTTTTCATCATGCACTTCTAGTTGAGGACTAGAACCATCAATTTCCCCATCCTCAAGAACCATAGTATTTGGGGATCCATTATTCAGTTGTGTGGCTACAGAAACATCCATTTCTGCCTCTAAAGTTCTATCAGGAATATGTGTATCAACAGAAGTCACATGCATTTCTTCGACTTCCAGAGCAGACTTAGGATCATCAACTGGTTCATTTCCTTGAGCCAGAACAGCAGGGACTTCCCAAGAAGTTTCACCAGTCGCAATGTTCCAGTAATAATATGAATTACTCTCTTCATGCAACACCATTTTCCAGCCGGATACCAAATCTCCTGTAGCCTGCTGATCAGATGTCCAAGGAACAGAGGTCTGGTCCACAGCATCTGTATCTATGTGCAGAGACACGGATGTATTATCTTCTATAACACCATTTTCCTCCAATTTGGTCAAGACATCCAATGAAGAAGAGTGCTCCTTGTTCTCCTGATCATCTTTATCGGCAATAAGGTTTTCATCTTTATCTCCTCCAGTACCCTCACAACTGTCTGCCTTTAGCTGCTACAAAATATAATTAATGTACAAGTTTGCCATGTTGAACAAATAAAATCACAACACTCTTTTTAAAATTTATAATTCTATAAAGGGTGCGTTTGGTATGCATGACAGGACAGTACAACAACTTGTCCCACATTTGGCGTGACATTAGACGGACAAGACAGCACCTGAGTGAGACAAAAAAAAAAAATTTGTCCCACCAAAATAGGTAGAACAAAAATCTAGGAAATGGGGCAAGTTCGGTAAATTACTAACCTATCCATGTCAAATTAAAACCCTAAAATCTTCCAGGATTCTTTCACACGCTCGCCCATTCAGTCAAGTCCAGTCTGCATATCAAACGCACCCTAATGGGGACTTAAACACATTTACTGCATCAAACCCCTAGCCAATTGAAAACTAGGCATCCCAAACCAGATATAGTTCACACGACTATTGAATTACTAAAGATCCTGTAATCTAAGCACACCTGCTCATCAGGCTCAGCTGGGGAGTTCTCTCCAGTATCATGGCTTATTTCTTTACCCGATTCTTCCTCCAGTTCTTCATCGCTATATTGTCCAAGTAACAACAAAGGATTTTCTGGTTTTTGACCTGAAATAAAGATGCAAACCCGTCAAACATCATAAAAACAAAACATGCATACTCTGGTTACAACTAATCTCCCAATAGATACTTAAAGGAACTTCTCATATTGGCCTAAAGTAATAAACAAAAGCTCTGAAAAAGTATGTTAAACTTCACAAATCATGCCACTGCCACCTGCAACATCGAAATTAAATTAGTAATTCAGAATAAAACAAAAAGGCAGAGACATACGAACCACTAATCTTGTTGAAATGTCGCAACTCTGCGTGCCGAAAAAACGGATATAACATGTCAGGAATTTCAATCAAAGAAACACTGTGGCTAAGTTGAACAAGCTCAGTTGACCAATTGAGTTCCCAATACCACAGCCACCTAACAGTCTGAAAGGAATATCTTGGGAGCGCAAACATGTCTTGTATAAAGTAAACATCAACCAATACAATCACGCCCTCTACAAAGATCAGTCCGGGGAGAAATTTGATGGAACCCACCTGAAGAAGATGGTGAATCGGGTGACCCAACATGATTTTTTGCACTGTCGCCACCTCCAACTTCTTCTTTGTTAGACGATTCACCAAAATCTCCTATAAAGTTCAATAAAGACTAGGAAAATTAAAACCCAACATGGCCAGAATCTAAGAAAATCAGATCATAAATGGCACTTCACTATAAAAAGAAGTCAAAATTTGTGTCCGGTGCACCAAGCAAAATTTCTATCAATTCAGCATACGAACAGATATTAACTATTAAGAGACTTACAACTTTATTGCCGACATGATATATTGCATGCAAGCAAAGAAACACCAAAGATGACTACAATCAGACGTAACCTATAAAGACGTGACGTGATGTGATGTGATGTGATGGGATGGGATGTTAATTACACAAAAGGGAACCATCGATTGGCAGTTGATATTGATTCTTCCATCCTGAATATGCTTAGTATGAAGAACCAACGGCCCCAGAATTTGAACTATGATGCTACGTTTTGACCTACATAACGCCTGAACACCAAAACCCCACCACCACAAAAACACTTTCGTTTCCATTATATGTTAGGCAAATTTCAGTTATTGGATTAAAACGATCATCCATGATGTCAGGCAAACACCATTCTTGGATTTTCATAACTCCAGATTGCAATTTTCGAACAAGATTGGAGTGGAAACTTTTAACCGTTGGAATACGTATTCGAATAAATCACTAACCCAATCTCCAACTCACATGAGTTAAAATCAATTATCTTCTTAGCAATATCGGCAACTAACTTGTACGCTACAAATATCAACTATCGGAACAAAACAAACAGGTAGAAAGAGCATATGACAGGATTACCAGAGGGTTCCGCTAGAAGATCGAGTTTTACTCTTCGATTAGCAGCAGTCTTAGCCGCGAGTCTACGCTCCTTTCTCTTTCCCATCAAGAATTGAAGAGTTCCACAGCCAAAGTTTCGTGAATTTGATGAAATCTCGCTTGTTCGATTCAAACCCTAGGGCTAGATTGTTCGCAGCGTGTCCTTTATGAGTCGTATCCTGCTTGTCTTCCGAGTCATGTTGGTAAATGACGTTGAATGAGTTTTTATAGAGATGGGCTTCACCTCCCTTTGGTTTTAGCTCTTGGGCTCTCGGAGCCCACATATTTTTCATTTGGCCCATACATACTTTAACTGCCATGAAAAAACAGCATACCTTTAACTTGATTCTTATTTTGGATAACGTACTTTAAAACCTTCATTTTGGTATTTAAAATGTAAAGTTTTAAACATTTAAATACCCGGGTAACTGGTTGAAACGTTAACCGGTTATCATGTTGATGTAACGAATGATGTGGTATCCAACTCAATATTATTTGTAAAGTTTAATCGTGCTCTTGAACAAGTCCAGTCGAACATTGGTGTTATGGAGCTCGACTTGTAAGCTAAATGAGCTTTATTTTTTGATCGAGATCGAATCGAGCTCGAGAATTAATAAGCTCGAGTAGATCGTTAAAAGCTCGACTTCGTTACACCCCTAAACTTAACAATCATATTAAATTCATGTCATTTAAAGGCGTTAGGTTTATTGAGTGGGTTAAAATGACCCTAACCCAATTTCAACATGACATCTACAGTTTGAAAATCTTTCGACTCAATCAGGTCGAGTGGCTTCGGGGTTAGGTTGGTTGGGTTAGTCGCGTTTTTGAGCACCCCTACTTATCGGTAACATTCTTGACCATCAAAACGAATTGTTGGTAAACATATGTTATCCGGTAAAACTAATCTATTCACTTAACGAGTAAGATTACCAATTCTTGGTATACTTCTTATCGGATAAGCTTATCAACCATTCACATGCTTATCCAATAAGACAAGCAACACCCAGTAAACAGTTATCCGGTAAACATCATGTAACAAACCCCTAAATCATGATTGGGAAAACATAAATGGTACTCCCAAACACAAAAGATTTCAGTAGACATGGACTAAGGACTAAAATGAAATTTTCATTAAAGAACAGGGACTGAAGTTGTACAAGAAAATAGTTAGGGACTAATAAATAAATATTGAAAAAATGACAGCAAAAAAGGATCGTGCGGTGGTCACGTGACCTCCATCGCTGGTGTCGCCGGGACTACGGATATGTACCCCATCACCACCACCTTATCGATGTGTCATTTCTCACATCCTTCCATATTTATATGTAATCGTTTTCTTGTTTTTCATCACTTTAATTTGTTCAATTTGTTGTATTCGATTTGTGTTTTCTGTGAAATCAAATTTGCTGTTCGATATCAAGAGTTGACGATTTCATCCCGTCTCAATTTGGAGCAACAATCCAGACAATCTGTCGTAAGGTTAGTTCATGTCATGCATCTGAATTTTATTACGTATTTTTGTTTCCCGTTTGCAATATTGAAAGCATACCAAGAATCTGTTTTGGCTGTTGCGAGATCTGTAACTGTTCTAGTTAGATAATTGTTGATTTCGTTGAATTTATATGTTGAATTAGATCATACGATGATGATCGTGGTATGTTCTACTGGATGTCGTTTAGAGGTCTGATGAGGGATTGTTTCCTGTTGTATTGTTATGTTTAATTGATATTGAGAATTGAGATTATGTTCTAGACGGTATTATATCCATATACGTATTTTGATGATTGACATGCAATTGATAAAACCTATGAGGAACCCTATTTTTTTGTTGAGATAGGTGTTTAAATCCATCACGGAATGGATTTTTTTAAGCACTCTCTGGGTTGCTACAGATATGAAAGTGTGGCTATTTTGACATCCATGTGTTATAGTAAAAGTATTACGAACAGATGGAGGAGAAAACAGAGATGGAGAGAAAGAGAGAGAAATTTATGGCGAGAAGAATATCAGTTTATTATCATGAATGATACCTGGAGTTACAACGGTTACAATCTATTTATAGTTCATGATTACAAAGAGAGCAACAAATTCTCTTAGCTAACCAATTCGTAACAGATTATAATTTATAACCTCCTGTTACATTCCTTCCCTCTTGACAACATTTAACCCCAAGGAACCTGTTTGCTGCAACTTGTTAAACTTCTCAACCACATTTAACCCCACATCATCTTTTAATCTTGCAGACAAATCTGTGATGAATTCAGTCCAACCAACATTCTTCTTGATAGCTATGTAACTAGATATCCAACTTTCTGCCTTATCAACCATACCCAGACAAGCCAAATCAACTTTTTGATCTTCAAGGACTTTACACGGACTAAAACTTGTTGCATTTTCTTTATCCACATCACTGAGTTAGAACTATCAAATTCAGGAAACTCAAGTTTAGGAACATACCCTAGAGCCCTATTTATAGCATCGTTCTTTGGAGGATCAATTAGTCTGGATTTTTCAGTTTCCTTCATTCTGTCATTCATCTCTGCAATAGCCTTCATCATCTTTGCAATGCTTTCGTTTTGGGCTTCTATTCTTTGCTCTAGTGATCTGATGTTTTCTTCCATGAGTATGGCTTTTCTCGTAGCAGGTGCCAGCGTTGAAGGAATGAATGGCTGGTTCAAGAAATTAGGGTTTTCCTCTAATACCAATGTTATGGTAAAAGAATAAGAAGAACAAATGGGGAGAAAACAGAGATGGAGAGATAGAGAGAGAAATTTACTGAGAGAAGAATATCAGTTTCTTATTATGAATGATACCTGGAGTTACAACAGTTACAATCAGTTTATAGTTCAGGATTATAAAGAGATCAACAAATTCTCTTGGCTAACCTATTGGTAACAGATTATAACCTCCTGAAACACCATGTTGAATTGTTGATCAAACCAACATTAATGTTCAGAAGTTTTATAAGCACTGTCTACGTTGCTAGGATGGGATTGGCCGAGTGAGAGTGAAGTAGGCAGGAGATAGAAAGGTGGAAGGTTTGACGTCTTTAATTTGAATGGATAGTTTAGTAATTTACCAAGTTTTTACATCTCCGTAGTTCTTGTTCCAACTATTTTGGTTGGACAGAAAGAGAACTCCGTTGTCCCAGTCAAGCCTGTCCACTCCTCAGCAAACGTGAGACAAACACTTTATTTGTCCTATCTTGCATACCAAATGCACCCTTACAGAATGGATCTCTTTAAGCACTCCATGGGTTGCTACTCGGTGGTTATTTTGACATCCATGATCAAACCAACTTTAAAGTTCAGAATTTTCTTAAGCAACAATAACAGAGAATCAAATGAAAGAAACTAAAAATCAAGCATTGATCTTGTTTTTCTGAAAAGCTTTATAGTCAAATACTTGGAATCATTTGGATTTTTATTTCTTTTTGAAATCTTTTATAGTGAGGTTTCCTAATGAAAATTTTCTTTTTCTTTCTTACTTCCAACAGAGAGAGTGTAGTTGCCCTGCATCAAAATTTGCAAACATTTATTTTAACAGCAGCAGGAAATGGTCAAAAGGTAATTTCTATCTTTTCATGTTCGCTGTTCTGCTCGCATGTTTTTGTATGTAGGTTGAATCTTTAACTTCTTTTTGCTCTTCTTTTCAGCAATGATCATGGGGTATTTTGATGTACAACAAGTACCATGTCTCAATGCTTAGAGGGGGTCAAGCATTTATTTGCTTCCCTGCTCCACTGCTGTGATCTTGAATCATACAAACAATTACCGGCCCTTGAAGATCCTGAGGTTCTAGCCAGAGCGACAGTTTGTATGCTACTAGTCTATAACCCTATTTCACATTTGTTACCCTTCTATTTTGCGCCTTTCTCACAAGCCGGGGGTCTTTACGGAAACAGCCACTCTACTCTTTGAGGGTAGAGGCCAGGTCCGCGTAAACCCTGCCCTCCAGACCCCATCTCCGGGTGGGATATACCGGGCTCATTTTGTTTGGTTTGGCTCACATTTGTTGCCCTTTTGATTGATCACAAAGATCAAAGTCCGGACCACTAATCAAATGAAGCTTAAAAGAAGTTTTTTTTTTTTTTTTTCTGTTAGTGATTTTTCTGCGTATCAAACTTGTATACATGTAGGAACCTCTCTTTTTTCTATATGAGCTTAGAGAGGGAGTCAAAGGGGTTCCAAATATCCTAACAAGATCATGCTAAGTTTCATCTTTTTTACGTATCAAAACCTGTATATATGTAGGAATCTCCCTCCTTTCTCTATGAGCTCTTTTAGAGAGGGATTCATAGGGGTTTCACATATCCTAACAAGATTATGCTAAGCTTTATTTCCGACAAGAAAACACTTACAAGTCACACCTCATACTAAGGGAAGTCATTTGTGGCATAATGCAGTTAGTGTAAGCGAAATAGAAGCACTTTATGAGTTATTTAAGAAGATTAGCAGTGCTGTGATTGATGACGGACTAATCAATAAGGTTCGTACGTAGCTGACATAACGTCTTTTGCATATGTTCTTCTTTTCTTCCATTTCCTAGGGGATGGCAACATCTTTTCTAATAATATAAATAAAATGTTGAAATTATCTCTATACATATCACAGGAAGAGTTCCAATTGGCATTATTCAAGACAAACAAAAAGGAGAGCCTGTTTGCTGATCGGGTGCGTATCTCTGTACCTTATTTTCTTTACATCTCTGTAAGTAAACTATAAGTGTGTGTTTCGTGTCCAAATAGAATAGGACAGAACAACTATTCAACGTCCGGTAAAATAGAACTGGACAGGACAAAACAAAAAAAATGACCAATTTACCCCTAATAAGTGATTGGAAACTTTGCATCAAAACAACTAAAATGACACCAAAATAAAAAGTTTATGTAGTTTCCAATATTTGCAAAATAATTACATAAATTAATCTAAAATATAGAACCATATGAAAATAATATTTTGAGGGCAACAAAATGAAAGTTTAAAGAGCATAAAATACAATAAATGAAATTTAAAAAATGAATAAAATGTAAAGAGGGGGGCATATTTGATGTTTTAGAAGAGAATTAGGTTTCATTTTGATGTTACATTGGTAAAATATATTCTGTTCCACCTTGTTCCATGGACTTTGTTACACATAAAAGTCATGCCAAACGTGGAATAGTGATCATGTTTTGTCCTGTTCTGTCCAATGTACCAAACGCACCCTAAGGGAATTCAGGATGTGTTATCTTTTAAAAAAAATCCACAGAATGGGACCTATATATGTCATTATGTTGTGCGTCAATGAATTTCTCCATCTCATAATTAAGGGTAGAATTGGTCAATCGGAAAGTAGACACTTCTAAACCAACTTCAATTGAAATCTGGATACGTATTTTGGGCCAGAGGGAGTACTAACATTGATAAAAATAATGGTGTTTTTTGACACACAAAATAGTCATGATGTCACTTGCTCTTGACAAACAATGGTCTGTCACTTGATTTGAACATTCTCACGAAACCCTTTTCTTATTACTTTGACTTCAGGTGTTTGACCTGTTTGACACAAAGCATAATGGAATCCTCAGTTTCGAAGAGTTTGCATGTGCACTATCAGTATTTCATCCAAATGCTCCAATTGACGATAAGATCGAGTGTAAGTTAAAATAGTTTCCTAGTAAAAGAATATGACGCATATGCTCTCTCTTTAGATCTTTATATTAAGTCAGAGAACTTTGCTTCTGGCTTCTAAGCATATATCTTATTTATGCAAGCTCAGTGTCCCATATTTCATTCTCTATTTGCAGTTTCCTTTCAACTTTATGATCTCAAGCAGCAAGGTTTCATAGAGAGGCAGGAGGTAATTCCGTTCATTTTGTATAACCCAAACCAAACAGACCTGTTATATCCCACTTGATGGTAGGGTCTAGGGGTAAGATGTACGCAGATCTGACATCTGTCTCACGAGACAGATATTTTGCATGTGCATTGGGAATCAATTGATTGAGGCTTCCCATTGTCTTTCCATGTGTTTTAAGTAAATTTTAATCTGTTTATGAAGTTATCCAATGGGTTGTTTGGTTGGTTTTCCATTAAGTCCAGTATGGATAAAGTTGTCTGTATAGATTGCAAAGGTGTTTGGAAGAAGCGTGTTTTTTAATTGGGATGGACATGTTTGGTAAAAACTTGGCTTTCTGCATAAAGCTCCATGTAGAAGCTTACTAATTAAGCCACTACCAAACAATAATGTCCAGTTGATTGAATAAGCTACGAGTCTCATTAAGCTCGTTGAGATGCTAACAAACAGGCCCAGGACATGTAACAACCAAGTTTGCATACTTAGTACGGTACTAACAACCAACTGTAATTTGGACCAACTAATCGGCGCGGCTTGTACAAATGTTGGCTGATTTGATTTGGTATAAAATTCCCACCCCTAATGCAAAGAGTTGTTCATGCATGACCTCTATTCGATGAAACAACTTAATGAAATCAAATCTTCACTTTTATCACAAACAGGCCGCTGCTGGTATGGAACGATTAAGACGTTATTGTGTTGATGGTATCGCTCCATGGATGAGAATGAGACCGATTTCAATCAACATATCTTGTAGTTCTAGTATTGTATAAACCAAATGAACTTAGTATATACCACTCAAAAGCTGGGTCTGGGGTGGGATGTATGCAGATGTGTGTGTGGTACACTGGACAAGAATAGGGATCACTGTTCCATGTGTGGCAGGACTTTATGGAACAAGGTGGAACTGGCCTATATTTTACCAATATAACATCAAAATAAAACTTAATTCTTTTCTAAAACATCAAATACGTCTCCCTCTTTACATGTTATTAATTATTTAAATACTATTTATTGTATTTTATGCTCTTTAAACTCTCTTCTAATGATATATTTTGTTATATTATAGTTTAATAAATTACATAAATTAATCAAAATATATAAAATATATAAACAATTCATTAGGGGTAAATTGGTCATTTTATCTGTTCTGTCTTGCCGAGTTTTGTCTTACCAAACGTTGAACAACTATTCTGTCCTATCCTGTCTGTATACCAAACACACCTCAAAGGTTAAGTGGGTGGATCTATGAAAAACCCTGTCTTGTGCGAAAATGCTTCGAAAAGGAAAGAAGGACCAAAACCAGTAAATACTCTCTCATCCCAAAATAAATGTCCTACATTTCTATTGTAGTTTTTCCCTTAATAAGTATCAAATTTCCAATTCTACCCTTAACTAGGAGATGAATAATTCACTACTCTCTATTATTAAGGGTAAAATTGTCATTAATGTGTAATGACTTAAACATTTCTAAAACTGTATGCATCTTTCACCATGGGAATTAATACACATCCCTCTATATAATCAGCTCCCTACCTCCCCCCCCCCCCAACCGGCCGCTACCTCCATTGTTCCTATCACACGAGATATAGGTCCATATGCTAAAGTCTAGTGCCGTAGTTTTAGTATGGTATGGGAGTGAATAATTTGTTTGGATTTGTGACATGTAGGTGAAGCAAATGGTGGTGGCTACTCTTGCTGAATCTGGCATGAATCTTTCCAGTGATGTAATTGAGAGCATCATTGATAAGGTACTTCAACTAATTCCATTTTCCGGTGCCTTTATATCATTTTAACTGTACAACGACCAAGGGATGATTCTCGAAATGAATGTGATTGTTTAGACGTTTGAGGAAGCGGATACGAAACATGACGGGAAGATCGATAAGGAAGAATGGAGAAACCTTGTGCTACGACATCCGTCCCTTTTGAAGAATATGACCCTTCAGTACCTCAAGTAAGCTCATAAAAAATGATATTATTTAACTTTATTTTAGCTTATGGATTTGTGTATTCTCTCTTTGTTACACTTTCACAAGTCGGGGTCTTAACGGAAACAACCACTTTACTTTTATTAGTAGAGGTCAGGTCCGCATATATCTTACCCTCCTCAGACTCCCCACCTTAAGTTGGATATACTGGTTTTGTTATAGCGAATGTGTTGGCTTATTTGTGAAGTGTAGATGTTGAGTTGGTTACATTTTTTGACAGGGATATCACGACAACATTCCCGAGCTTTGTTTTTCACTCAAGAGTTGAGGATACCTGATGGTGTTTACGTTTTCCGGTTTTTGTTCACAAGTTTTGCTCCGGTGATTTGTTTGTATACTTTTATTAGACATCAATTTTGCATATAAAACATTCGTTGTTTTATTCACGCACTTTCTCAAAAATATGTTTACCTTTCAATTTCCGTCTAAAGTACATCTTTTGTAACATATTTACCGAAACCCTAGAAGCGAAAATAGTAACCAATTGTTGGAAATATTGAACAAGTAACCACAAGGGTGATACCTGATTGGTTTGAGCTTGGGCTCCAAAGGTCAAAAATGTTTGGAGGTCTCAGGTTCAAATCCAAGGAGGAATAAAAATCCCCTTGTGACCACGGAGGTTCAAATGTGGTGACTCCGGGCTACCCACAAAGCAGGTGGTCGTCTTGTGATTAGTCGACTCACATAGCGGGTTGGATATTGAACAAGTCTCATTCTTTCTTGACATTTAAGTAAACCCTAGTTGCTTTAACTCTTTGTAGAGAAGGATTATGACCACCAAAGTGAAACAAGCATCACTTTTAAGCATCATATGAAACCACAACCACAGCACCCTTTTGAAAAAATTGATTCCATATACAATGTGATCTATCTTGTTAATTGCGGTGCTATTGCGCTGCAATAGCGGATTGTGGATTAAGGTAAAATTGCGGTGAAAATTGCTTTATGATATTAGCGGTGCAATCAACCGATATTTTAGCAGATATTTAAGGTGAAATCATTAACTGATATTCCGATATTTTAGTTTGAGCCTCTTTAGAACTATGTTATATATATACATATATATATATATATATATATATATAATTCTAAGAAATATTATATGAATCACTATTTTTGGACCGCTATACCACTATAATAACCACTATTTTAGATATTGGTCTTGCTGTAATTTTGTATTTTTACAACATAAAATGTGATATGCATCTCATTTTGTACATACAAAAACCAAATAGCAACAAGAAAAACAAAATCATGAACAACTTTTTCACAAGGGTGGTTGTGGCTTCATACGATGTGATTATACTTGACGAAATGTTTATAAGGAATTCAGATTTCGTGAAAGGATTTGGAATATTATAGTCGTTCAAAATTCTATCCAATCCGGCAAACAATGTCAAACCCTTAGCAGCATTTAATTCTGTGTTTCCAAAAATCGATGCCCTTTGATCCAAGGGTTCCTGCATTTTCAATATATAAACCAAGGAATTGAAATTTGATATAAAAAAAAATTAACACTAAAATGGGATGCTTTTTTTACTATGATTTGTAAAAACCATTTTGTGCTTCCAACAAGAGAATTACACAAAACCAAATGGAAGTTGAGCAGAAAAGACATCAAAGATGGGAGAAGGATTCTAAAAGAAACCAAAATACGTGTATTCCCAACAGACAAACGATACAAAAAGCAGCAGTTTGCCAACTATTTCAAAAAACACCAAAATAATAAACCTTCAAAAAGAAGAGAATTTTTAGTCGACTTCCTCCATCTTGCTGCCTTCAGCATCAATATCTGCATCTTCAAGGGCAGGTATATCAGCATCGCCTTCACCTGCTTCATCATCATCAATGCTCAATCCCAGTTTCAACATCCTATGAATCCTGTTTCCAAATGTGTTTGGTTCATCCAGACTGAACCCAGATGTCAACAGTGCTGTCTCAAACAGCAACAGCACCAAATCCTTCACCGACTTATCGTTCTTGTCCGCATCCGCTCTCTTCCTCAACTCCTCCATGATTGCGTTCTCTGGGTTTATTTCCATCGTCTTTTTGCTCGACATGTATCCCGCCATGCTTGCGTCACGTAAAGCCTGCGCTTTCATGATTCGCTCCATGTTGGCCGTCCATCCGTATTCGCCCGTCACCAGACAGCACGGAGAGTCGACTACGCGGTCCGATACGACCACCTTCTCGACCTTGTCGCCCAACACATCCTTGATCACCTTGCATAGACCCTCGAATTTCTCCTTCAAAGATTCTTGCTTCCTCTTCTCGTCTTCGGTTTCTTCAAGCTTCAGACCTTCTTTAGTGGCGGAAACGAGCTTCTTTCCTTCGAATTCCTTCAACTGGCCCACAGAATACTCGTCAATTGCGTCCACCATGTAGAGGACTTCGTATCCCTTCTTTTTCAACTTCTCGAGGAATGGGGAATTCTCTACGGCCTTCTTGCTCTCACCCGTGATGTAAAAGATTTCGTTTTGACCATCTTTCATTCGCGTCACRTAGTCCTTCAAGCTAGTCATCTCGTCTCCACTCTTGGTGGAGTGRTATCGGAGCAATTCCGCGAGTTTGGTCTTGTTTGTGGAATCTTCGTGGATACCCAGTTTGAGATTCTTGGAGAAGGCTTCGTAGAACTTGACGTAATCCTCCTTGTTCTCCGCAATCTCCTGGAAAAGTTCRATGCATTTCTTCACCAAGTTCTTGCGAATAACCTTCAGRATCTTGTTCTGCTGCAACATCTCTCTTGAAATGTTAAGGGGAAGRTCCTCKGAATCCACAATACCCTTAACGAAACTGAGGTACTCGGGTATGATCTCTTCACAGTTGTCCATGATAAAGACACGACGGACATAAAGCTTGATGTTGTTGGGCTTCTTCTTCGAGTCAAACAGGTCAAAGGGGGCCCGCTTGGGTACGAAAAGAACAGCCTTGAATTCCAGCTGTCCTTCRACMGAAAAGTGCTTCACRTTCAAGTGTTCCTCCCAGTCGTTGGTGAGACTTTTGTAGAAAGCTGCATACTCTTCCTTGGTGATCTCCTCTGGCTTCCTCATCCAGATGGGTTTTTGTTTGTTCATCAAAGACCATTCATGAGACACTTCTTTAATCTTCTTCTTTTTCTTCTCTTCCTTCTCCTTCTCTTCATCAACCTCCTCAACTTTGCCTTCCTCGTCTTTCTTCTCTTCGTCTTCATCTTTCTTCTCTTCKTCATCCTCATCATCAGATATTTCCTTCTCGGTTGTCTTCTCGACCCAAAGGGAGATTGGATAGCTGATGAATTCAGAGTGCTTCTTAATCAGATCCTTGAGCCTGCGCTCCTCAAGGTACTCGAGCTGGTCCTCCTTGAGATAAAGGACAATTTTAGTGCCCCTGCCAAGGGGTTCACCTTCATCCCGGGTTACTGTGAATGACCCACCAGCCTGCGACTCCCAAACATACTGTTCATCATCGTTGTGTTTTGTGGTGACAATGACTTTCTCTGCAACCAGATAAGCTGAGTAGAAACCGACACCAAATTGTCCAATCATGCTAACATCAGCACCAGCAGCAATGGCTTCCATGAATTCTTTGGTACCAGAACGAGCAATGGTACCTAGATTGTTCACCAAATCTGCAAAAAGATTGGCATATAATGGTCAGAAAGAGTGTATACTTAATAGACAATGCTTCATCTTGTTCATTAACATAAACGTAACAAAATGTCTCACCTGCTTTAGTCATTCCAATTCCACTGTCAATGATGGTCAGTGTGTTGTTGGCCTTATCGGGAATGATGTGGATGAACAGCTCTGGTTGAGCATCTAGCTTGCTCTTATCAGTCAAGCTCTCAAAACGAATCTTGTCCAGAGCCTGCATGACACATTTCAAGTCTATGTAAGATAACTTTATATCACACAATTGCAAAATATATGGTTTTCAAAGAAGCAAATTTTAAATATCAGGGGGATGTTAAGATCATGGATTTGATAAACAATTACAGACCAAAGATATTGTATCACTCTTGTTCAATTAAGACGTAACAAAAAAGAAAACAAATACTAATAAGAATGAGGATTACAACAATTTTGCACATTGAACTACAAAGCTAGAATAGATTTTTCATAAAGGATACCCAAATCTTAGAGAAGGTTGTAATTAATGTGTCAACAAAGACCGGCACGAAGAATTGTGATGTAGATACAACACAATTACTGAACGACATGCAGACCACGAATAAACATAATTCTCCAAAATTTCTTCAAAATGAAGATTCAAAATTCAAAGCCTCCAAAACAAAACAAGTTCAACTCAATGGCTTCTCCATTTTGGAATTACAAGATTAATTGTATTACTACCAAATATTTCAACAATTAATAAAATATAATTTTCATATCCGATGTTTCTTCAGGGTAATCATTTTGGGAGTTCAAATTTAGAGAGTGACACATTCTGTTGGATGAATTTTTTTGCCCAAAATCCCCAAATCTGTTTTGAGATGCTCTAAGAAACTAAGTAGCTAGTGCATAATAATTTTATATCCTATATGCTCTAAGAGGATCATCAGCCATCGCCACTAAAATGGTGCATATTTCGGTACAAAGAGTACTAACTCATTCACTTTTTGACTCCCGAACTTGGAGTCTCATACTTTCGCTCAATTCGTTAAGGTTAAACAAGCAATTAATGCTTCACAATCTTCAAGCATCACGCTATTTTTTACACTGACCGTATTCTTAGTGTTCTTTCCACCAAATTTGTTTGAATGAAATCATGTAAATAAACATTAGGCGAAATACGATGTGTTCAAAGAGAGAAAACTTCGTAATAGATCGATTTAACGACAAAAAAAAGTGTGTTCATCAGAGATGCCCTGGAAAAACACAATTATAACAACGAGCCGCATAGATCTTTCTAAATTAAAGCCAGAAACTCATAGAATAGCACATATCTCATACAACTGAATCTATAAGAAGATAAACAATTGAACACATGAAAAGTGGAAAGAAATACTCACATCGGAGGCGTTGCTAACAAGCTCACGAAGGAAGATCTCCTTGTTGCTGTAGAAAGTGTTGATAATTAGACTCAACAACTGGTTGATCTCAGCTTGGAAAGCAAACGTCTCTGTTTCCGCCATTAATGATCTTCTGGTTTTACGACGACGAAGACTTGTTAGTGGAGGAAAGAACAAAGCCTATGATCTTGAGGGGAAGGGAAACAACACGCTTGTGAGGCTCTGTGGTAGAGGCGATTCTATAAATAGTAAGGCAGCTAGGGTTTCTAGATCCTTCCATTTGAAAAGTATTGGTATTATTTCTTAAATTTACTTATCAACCCCTATATTTTCCTCGGTCTGTCACTTTGTGCTTTATCTTTTCTCTAAATAACACTTTGCTCCCTTTTTAACTTTTAATTGACTCTAGGACTAGGAGTAATAATGTTGTTATAATCTAGAGAGAGAGAGAGAGCGCTTAAATACAAACATTGCAATTGTTATCTATAGTATCTTATAAAATATTTGGTTAAAACTCTTAAATTCGTTCATCCTTAAACGATTTCATTCCATATCTGAATTCGTGTAACTAATTGCAGATAAACACAATCAAATACAGGATAAGCATCTCATTTTAAATATAAAAAATCTAAAATATAATTAGTATAATCATTAAATTCTAACAGAATACTTAATTATTATCTTTATAAAATTTACAATATTAAACCAAAAATAAATTGTTTTATTATTAAACTTAAATTAAATTATATAAAAAATTATATTTTATATTATAAATCATTTGACAAAAACTCTTAAAAAACACTTTTTTATGCGTAAAGTACTGTTTAATTAATGCATATTGTTTAAAACTCAAGATTACAAGTAAATTGTGCGTAGGTACAACTTATTAAAGCTCCATATCTGAATTCGTGTAACTAGTTGCAGATAAACACAATCAAATACAGGATAAACATTTCATTTTAAATATAAAAAATATAAAATATAATTAGGATAATCATTAAATTCTAACAGAATACTTAATTATTATCTTTATAAAATTTATAATATTAAACCAAAAATAAATTGTTTTATTATTAAACTTAAATTAAATTATATAAAAATATATATTTTATATTATAAATCATTTGACAAAAACTCTTAAAAACTATTTTTTATGCGTAAAGTACTGTTTATTAATGCATATTGTTTAAAACTCAATATTACAAGTAGATTGTGCGTAAGTACAATTTATTAAAGCTCCATATCTGAATTCATGTAACTAATTGCAGATAAACATAATCATATACATGATAAACATATTATTTTAAATATAAAAAATCTAAAATATAATTAGGATAATCATTGAGTTCTAACAGAATACTTAATTATTATCTTT